TTGCTTCTTTAGATATGTTTCTTTTTCTCTTTCTTTCTCTTTTGTTATGTTTCGCATTTTCTTTTATTTCACATTTCTTTTTTCTACTTTTTTAAAATATTTCTTGTTTTTTTTAATCTTATGTAATTTATTCATTTAATAAAAATTATATTAAAAAAAAGAAGCTTGAGGCTTTTTGGCTAAGAGGTGTCCATTACATGAATGTAGTGTCCTGTCTATAAGTAATAATCTCAGATAGGTCTGCATCAGTGGTGAAATCCAATTTTCTTTACTACTGGTTCTGTGGGTGTGGCTTGGTGGGCGTGGCATGGCTTGGTGGGCGTGGCTTGGTGGGCACGGCAGGGGAAAGATACTGCAAAATTCCCATTCCCTCCCCACTCCTGAGGGAAGGATATTGCAAAATCTCCATTCCCACCCTATTCTGGGGCCAGCCAGAGGTGGTATTTGCCGATTCTCCAAACTACTCAAAATTACTACTATCAATTAGCATCAGAACTGATCAAAATTTCCGCTACTGGTTCTCTAGAACCTGTCAGAACCTGCTGGATTTCACCCCTGGTCTGCATGGATATTTCTTACCCACTAATACCCAGGTCAGCATGTAGGTGAACATCCATATTTACAATGTTAAATCATTTGAAAGTAATGGAATATTTTCACTTTTCTCTCTTGGTGAAATTTTACATGTAATGAAATGAAATGCATTTTCAGGTAAGGGGTTTGTTGTGATTTAACTAGTATTGAATGTATTATATTAAGCGTATTTAATATGCATGAAATATGATCTGATTTCCGCCCCACCCATAACCAGAACTCTGTGAAGTAGATTGAGTTGAGAGGGAACAACTGGCCCAAAGTCATAAACTCCATGGTTCAATGCGGACTTAAAGAATTTCAACTGGCAGTGTCCAGGATGCGACCCTTCTCTGCTGCTGCCCCCGGCCTTTGAAATATCCTTGTCAAGTGCAGTGAATCAGGATTCAAGCCAGTTTAAATGAATGCAGGTTTATTGCATGTTAACAGTCTCTACAAGAATCTGAGCTACTAAGGACAAAGCAAAGTAGATAAGAGTCAATAGAATTCAAGGTGGGCTGAACTCAAATCTCTTGTGGGTGTGAAGAGACTTAACACTGATGATGTGTTGGATCTCTCCCTCAGGCTCAGCCTGGTTATCTCCTATAATTTTCCTGACAGAAGTGAGGCAGACTCCCACTCTCCTGGCCTTTCAGAAGTATAGGTAGTCCAGGGGTGAAATGCTCCCGGTTCGGACTGGATCACCCAATCCAGTAGCGATGGAGGCGGGTGGTTCGGAGAACTGTTAGCAAAAATCCCTGCCCCCCCCAGGCCCAGCTGAGCCGCACAATCATCAGAGGCTTTTTTTTTTACTTTTAAAAGCATTTTTTCTACAACCTCTTTGGCCAAAAAAATGCTTTTAAAAGTAAAAACAAGCCTCTGATGATCGCGTGGCTCAGCTGGGATCATCAAAGGCTTTTAAAAGAAAAAAACCCTTTTTTTCTTTTAAATGCCTCTGACGATCCAAGCTGAGTTGCCTGATTGTCAGAGGCATTTAAAAGAAAAAAACCATCTGCCGATCAGGCAACTCAGCTGGGATTGTCAGAGCCTTTTGAAAGCATTTTTTTACAACCGCTTCGCTGAAGAGAAAAAATGGTTTTAAAAGTTAAAAAAAAAAAAAATTGGCCACACCCACCTAGTCACATTACCCCCCCAAGCCACGCCCACAGAACCGGTAGTAACAAATTTTAGATTTCACCACTGAGGTAGTCCTCAAATTACTGAGCCCAAAGTTTATGTTGTTAAGTGAGAAATTTGTTAAGCAAGTTCTCGTCCACTTTATGATTTTTCTTGCCACATTTGTTAAGCGAATCACTGCAGCTGTTAAATTTGTGACACGGTTGTTAAGTGAATCTGGTTTCCTCACTGACTTTGCTTGTCAGAAGGTCACAAAAGGTGATCCCATGACTCCAGGACACTGCAACCGTCATAACTGTGAGTCAATTGTCAAGTATCCAAATGTAAATCACGTGACCATGGGGATGCTACAACGGCCGTAAGTGTGAAAAACAGTCATAAGTCATTTTTTTTCCAGTGATGATATAACTTTGAACGGTCACTAAATGAACTGTTGTAAGTCGAGGACTATTGTTTCTGAAAACCTGGTTCTGCTGGCTTGCTTGGTACTCTCAGAGCAGCCCACAACCTTGGAAGTGCCTTAAAGGCCTTCCCTCCGCCTTTTTAACTTTAATTATGCTCTTCCCGTTTTAATTGCCTCCTATTGGTACTTATATGGTTTTTATGGTTATATGTTTTTAATTGTACACCGCACTCTCTAACTTCGATAAACAAATAAACAAAACCTCCCTAGGACCAGCCCAGCTACTCAGTCACTATACAAAGTGGCTCTGTTGAGTTTTACAGGGATCAGGCACTATCATCATTTAACTTCCTACCATCTCTTTCCAGTAAAAATACTAACAATCATAAAGGAAGAAAAATAGAAATAGCTGCAGAATGTCTTTGGTTGAATAACTTTAGGAGCATCCGTTACGGTATTCCCTTCTTTTCTCCGTGAAAAGATCTTTGCTAGGCAGAGGGGGGAAAAAAACCCAAAACAACGATGAAAGAAACAGGGAGAGAAGAGGAAAGACGCTAAAGGAAACATCACAAGACCTACATTCCTTTCCCCCAGTCATTTTGGCTTATTAACCCTACCCATGGCTTAACATGCTGTGCCAATCCGGTCATAGGAAGAGAAGAAGGGACGTTTTTCACAAAAGTATTCAGCAAAATAATACATGCTCTCTGGGATGCTATGAAGGCTAAAGAGTTCTTTTCTTTTTAAAAAGCAATTTGGAATGTGGGCCAAGACTGGTCCTTTGAGAAGCGGATCTGTATGTATAGCCCTTTTAGCCCAATGGTTAAATATCAGGCTGAATCCTGACTGCTCTTTTTCTTATGCTGAATAATTTAGAATCTGGATTGGGAAAGCTCTTCTAAGGAAAAGGGTTCAGATTTAAGAATGGGAAGATTCTTACTACGACCAGCCATAGAAACTTACTGGGTGACTTAGGTCAGTCACTACCTTACATTGCAAATTTATTGTTGTTGGATAAACACGGGTAGTCTTCGACTTACAACAGTTCAATTTAGCGACTGTTCGAAGTTACAACAGCACTGAAAAAAGTAATTTATGAGCGTTTTTCACACCGTCGCAACATTTCTATGATTGAGTGATCCAAATTCGGATGCTAGGCAACTGATTCATATTTATGACAGTTGCAGTGTCTGGTGTGTGTGCGTGTGCGTGTGTGATGTGATTACCATTTGTGACCTTCTGACATGCTGACGTGTTACTAACTTAACAACTGCAGTGATTCACTTAACAATTGTGGCAAGAAAAGTCTTAAAATGGGTCAACATTCACTTAACAAATGTCTCACTTAGCAACTGATATTTTAGGCTAAGTTGTGGTCATAAATGGAAGACTGCCTGTAATTTATATTCAAAATATCTCTTGTCCAGTCCTACCATTTCCATATAGTGACACCTGAAACATTAGTCTGAATTTTTGCACACACTCTGGAAATCTTTATACATAAGCAAAGGCAGAGTTTTCAAAGGTAAGAAGCTGTTTAAGGTGGAATCAGAGCATTAGCTGGTCTCTTCCTCTCTAAAATATAATTGATATTTAAATATTGTATAAGATGAAACTTAGGTTATGAAGGATGTGGATGATACCAGGGGTGGGTTCTACTTACCTTTACTAGCGGTTCGCAATGGGGCCGCGCGCTCACACTCACTTCACTTGCGCGCATGAGCAGAAGCATTCTGATGACGTCAGGGTCGGTGGGCGGAGCCTCCTGCTGGTTTTACTACCGGTTCTATAGAACCGGTGTGAACCAGGGGCAACCCATCACTGGATGATACCCCTACTTTCCAAATATCTCCTTGAATTTTGTATTCTGACATACTTCTCTTTCTGATTTTCAAATATAGAATAGAATGAGTTGGAAGGGACCGTGGAGGTCTTCTAGTCTAGCCCCCTGCTGAAGCAGGAAAACCTATACCATTTCAGATATGTGACTATATAGACTCTTCTTAAAAACATTCAGTGATGGAGCGCCCACGATTTCTGGAGACAAGCTGTTCCACTGGTTAATTGTCCTCACTGTTAGGAAGTTTCTCCTTAATTCCAGGTTGCTTCTCTCTTTGGACAGTTTCCAACCATTGTTTCTTGTCCTGCCCTCTGATGCTTTGGAGAATAATTTGACCCCCCTCTTCTTTGTGGCAGCCCCTTGGATACTGGAATACTGCTATCATGTCACCCCTAATTCTTCTTTTCTTTAGACTAACCAAACCCAAATCCTGCAGCCGTTCTTCATATGTTTTAGTCTCCAGGCCTTTGATCATCTTAGTTGCTCTTCTCTGAACTTTTTCCAAACTCTCAACATCTTTTTTGTAATATGGTGACTAAAATATTTAGGTATAAGGGAGCCTCTGTGGGTTAGATGGCAAGGATCAGATCAGGATGCCTGTTGTGATGTAAAGCAATGACCATATAAATAAATTCATACTCTAAATACCATGTTTCCCCAAACATAAGACCCTGTCTTATATTTTTTTGAACCCTGAAATAAGCACTTGGCCTTATTGCCATGCGCTCAAAAGCCCGATTGGGTTTATTATCAGGCGATGTCTTATTTTGGGGGAAACAGGGTACGTATTAGATAGAAGGAAAAGATGAAATTGAAAAAATGCAGCAGAGTAATGTGCCAGCTGCAAAAACAAATACTTGCTCAAAAGGTCTTGCAAATTAAACCAGAAGGGCTTAATCAATGAGAAAAGAAAGACCACGTCTAGATGTCATTATCATAGCTTCTTTATACTACATATTACCAAGGAGATGTGAGCTGATGTTAGCCATGAATCTTCTTTTAGTTCTGGAGAGGGAAAATAATGTAGGCTAATTAAATACATTCAAATTAAATTTGCATAATTAGTAGAGTAGAATGTTAGTTTCCATCACACAGAGAAGAGAAGACTTATTGTTTGGCTTGTCCTAAGTTTAAATCAACACTTCTCAACCAGAAACCTCCAGGTATTTGGGAACTGCAACTGCCTGGGAATTCTGGGACATATAGTCCCAAGGCATCTGGAAGACATACAAATAGGAAAAGCAATTTTTAATCCTTGTAATATTTTTATGCCATTAAGAATGGCCTGAAATAATTATTGCTGGGTTAATACACGGTATATGAGGTTCAGTTTTCCTTTCTGAATGTGTTAAAAGACACTTTTCAAAGATTCCTGTAATTGCAAAATCAGGAGACTTGCTGTAATGATAACTATATACAGGTAATCCTTGATTTACCACAGTTCATTTAGTGACTGTTTGAAGTTACAATGGCACTGAAAAAAATGACCTATGATCAGTTTTCACACTTACGATGTTCGGGCATCCCCATTGTCACATGATCAAAATTCAGACGCTTGGTAATTGACTCATATTTATGACGATTGCAGTGTCCCGGAATCATTGATCATCCTTCTGACAAGCAAAATCAACGGGGAAGCCAGATTCACTTAACAACCATGTTACCAACTTAATAACTGCAGTGATTCACTTAACAACTGTGGCAAGAAAGGTTGTAAAACAGGCCAAAACTTATTTAACAAATGTCTCCCTTAGCAACAAAAACTTTAAGCTCAGTTGTGGTCATAAATCAAGGACTACCTGTATTAGCTACTCTACTCTCCTAAACTAACTGCATCATGTTCCATGCTTTGGATTGAGTCAGATCATTGGAGAAGGGGGCGATTACATCAATTTAAGATGTCACCTGGCTACGTTAATGGTTGTTTTATGATTGTGACTGCTGCGTATTTGGGGTATTTTTTGTAGGGTATGTATTTTATTTATCTATGTTTATGTTAAGCCAGCGTCTCCTATGTCAGATGGGTGGCAATATAATTGATTAAATAAGTAACTAAGATCTCGTTCCACATCCTACTTTATGGTCCATTGGATGCCTGGCAACACTTTGGGACATGCAAAGACAGTCTGAGTTTGGGTAAAGGGATTTGACAGTCATGGGTGAAAAGGGCAAGGGAGAATCAGATTGCCCAACTCTTCCCTGGTTCTTGGTTGCTAAGTGGCTGGAGTCATTCCTGTTTGTGGGGGAATGCAATGATAGCTAATCTGCCCTTCCTTCCATTACACCTCATAATGATTCTTTAAATCATGCTAATGAACTGGGTCTCTACCCCCCATCCAGCTTGACCCTGGAGGGCAGCCTGGATCCATTATGTTAGTGAATGGGCTGTGGCTAAGATTTATAGAGCTGGAGGGGGGAACTGTGAAGTGGTCTAGCTGGCTCCTTGGGCCTTGCAAGAGACACCTGGGCTGGTCTTAAAGGTAATTAGCGAGCCAGTGCTGATGGATGAGAGGCCCTGATTGCTGCTGAACTCAGCAAGGGGGTCTTGTCGGCTGGAGGAGCTCCTTTTGATGCCCTGAGTGTAATGAAGTCTCCGATTTGAAATCTTCATTAGGACTCTCAATCTGTTTGGCTTGTAATTTTATATGGAGGGCCATATGGGTGTTGAGCAAAACAGGTCTCAAATTTTCATTCAGTTATCATCTGCTCTGCTGCTGCTGATGTATAGTTTCCTCTCCAAAGGAAAACTTGTGTGGGAAGAGGGGGAAATGACTTCTTTGTTGTTTTACAGTTATTTATTCTGCCTTTATCCTAGACATCTTCAAGGGGTTCAGGTTGTATCCCTTTGGTAAAACAAAACTAGTTTAAAAAAGAACTACCAATAAGTTCACACTGATGCACTTCATTTTTTAAAAGGCAAACAAAACATAGCACCAATAAACCAGTGTTAAATTATTCCCGCCCCCAAATCAGCTCAACTAAAAAAAAAAAAGTTAGCCCACCGAAACAAACAAGTAAATAAAAACAAAAAGGGGAAATTCTATAAAACCAGGCTGCAGCTCTGTGAAAAAAGTTCCAAAACAGAAACATTATTTTAGGATTATCTCTTTGGCCATGTATCTTGAAATGTTAATTTTAAGTCCAGCAATTCTAGCTGCATGTGGGTACCCCAAGAAAGCAACTGCTTACAGCCACAACAGTTTGGCAGTCTCTCTCTCCCTCTCTCACTCCCTCTCTCTGAATGAGGTACAGGATCCTTCTTCTCCATCCATCCAGATCTTGCAGAATTCCCCCTCCCACAAGCTGGAAAGACTTGTATGCAGTGAGCCAAACACTTCACTTGTAGCCTTAGATCTATCTCTTCTTCTGAGCCTGGGGCTGATTGACAAGTGCCAAACTTCAAGCAACCAGTTTTAAGACCACTGGTCCTTTTGCTAGAATCTCTGACTCTGGGAGGTGTGGAGCAAAGAAACAGATTGAAGGAGTTTCTTTTCTGATGCACAAAGCCATAAAGGTTGGTCTCTCTTCCTAGACCATGACTCTGGTGGGGCAGAGTGGAGGTTTTTTTGCTGCTTCCCTCCCCTTTTTTTGGGGGGGGGGAATAAGCTGTGCAATGGGGAGAATTAAATGATATTTTGAAAACAAGTAGCAATTAGAATAGAGGAGCAAAAGTATTGCTGAAACCACCATTTTGTTGACATTGATAGTCCTTCCTGAACTGACCTGTTACATACATACATACATGTTTCAATAATTGCACTGGGTATCAAGTCATTCTCAAATGGAAGTTCACATGTACACATAAAAGACATGGGAGATCCAGTCACTTATGCCTTTTATACTTTATTAGTTTGACCCCAAGGTACAGAAGAAACAACAGCTTTCAACTATTTTTTTCCATCCAAATATTGAATATTATACAAATTCTGCTCAAATTATCTTATTTTGAGATTTGAAAAGGCATATCAAAGGACATTCACCTCCATCAAAGAGGAAATTCATTTTGAAGCATCCGTAAACTAATGTTGAGTTTGCAGTCTGTGATGTCCCAATCTCACATATATTTTATATCAATGAATATCTTAGAGTTGTAGACCGTAGTCTGATTTCCTTTGAGGACATAAAAGAGGAACTTTATTTTGCAGACCAAAAGTTGTAGTAGAACCTCATCATATACATCATTTTTGTGATTCTGGAAATGATGCCAAATGTTTTCTTCATTTCCTCCCTCACAATGTTGGGATCTATTTTATTGTTGTGATAGTCTATTTTGAAAACACTTTGTTACTGTTTGTTCATAGATAATACTAAAGAAGAACTTATCTCTGAACTATACAATTTTGATTCCTTGTTTGTTGTTGGGGCCTACAATATCATAGGACAGAGGTGTAAGAGGCACACCCTAGGGCCACATCTTTTTGTGGCTTCCAAAGTACAGCATGGGGCAATATTTCTTTCTCTTTTTGTTCTGGGAATGTTAAGGAGCGGAAATGGGTGCCTCTAGCCTTGCATATTCTGAAGCATTTTACCTCAGAAAACCTCTGACATCTTACAAAATGGATCTGCTCCCATTAACCTTGAGAGCAGGGCCTCAGCATGCTGCTTTAAATCTATTATGGTCCTCCTTGTGTACTCTGGTGTAGGACAATGGCAGCACTCCTTTTGTGATAGAGTAATGCTGTTTGTTTTTAACCAGCAGCTGATGCTTATGCTGCCAAGTCAACAACATAACAATACCCAGAGAAGGGGAGGGGGCAATACCTGGATTTTCAGTCCAATTCATCTTTCTCCCTTCAAGAATAATTGTATGCCCGTTATTGTGTGCGTGTTTTTTCCCCATGCCACCACTCTGCTTATCAACTAATTCCCACAACATTGTCTTATGCCCTACGATGTCAAACCACCTGTAGGGCTGTAATACTATTGTACTTCTCATTTTTCCTATTACCTATTTCCTTAGCTTCTTATGACTATAAATTTATTGTTTGTATCTTATGATTTATGTTGATTGCTTATTTAGTATCCTACAACTATTGTATCTTATGATTTATGATGATTGTATTTTATGATGATCATTTGTTGCTTGAGAGCTTATGCACCAGAGACAAATTCCTAAAGAATTGTATTCTATTTTGCAATGAAATTACAGTGATATGATTTTAGGGGCCTCTGAGGTTGGATGAGAATCTTAGAAGGCCTCTCTTGCAGGCCACAGATTGTTCCTCCTTAGCATAGGATTATGAAACTGAATTGAAAGTCCCTGAATTAAAAAGTTCTGCCTTAGCTACAAACTGAACATATGGCAGGAGAAAATGCAACAAACAAATGTTGGGTAGTTTGTGTGTCAGAGTGTCAGGCAACAAAAAAAAGTGCCTTTGTTTCTCAAAGAAAGTTTCTCAAACTTTCTCCTGTTGCCTTTCCAGGAGGTTGAAGCCTATCTCACTACTGGGCAATGAAGTCAGTTGGACTATGGAGGGCTTGGGTACATCTAACACTTTGTAAAGTTTTTAAAGAGGAGGCAAAACAGCAGTAAAAACACTTAGGAGGTGATAAAGGGCTTTAATGAGTTGGCTCTTTGATAGCACAGCTGTAAACTGATAGGGCCTCCCAGGAAAAAAAAAGGATAGTTAAGGGGAGGGGGGGAGAGAAAACTCTAAATCTGTCAGGAATCGTATTAATGTCTTTTTACTGGTTATGAAGGATAACTAATCGTAGACCTTTTCTGAATTTGCCCCACTTCAAGGACAATGGACTCTCCATATATTTCAACTTGTCGGGCTAGGATACAATTAAAAAGTTGAATTTGGGAAGCAAACTTCTCTGTCTGAATCTTTTTAATACATTAGCTATCAAATAGCAGTAAGGTTTCCGTGTGGCTAATAACCAGAGTTGGTACAATTAAATTCATTTTCTGGGAGGCACAACAGATTGATCAGAGATGCTGGATTTACAGAACCTGCTACGCTACACTGTCACTGCTTCTTTGTGTGTTAGTGCCTCTCACAACTATGGTTGCAGTGTTATAATAGTCTCTATGGCAAAGTGCGCATGGAACCCCTATTTTTGGAAGTCATGGAATAGAGTTGAGAGGCCTCTCTGAGAGATCCTTCAAATTCTGAAATCATTGAGAGGGATATCTCTAACAGAGATGTCTTCACTGTCAAACTAGTTACTAAGTCTGCATTACTATTAATCTTCTCATCGTTCCTATCACCCA